ATCCTCGCCGCTGCGCGAAGCCGCGCGAGGTGCCAACGCGCCCGACGCCGACCACAGGCACTGGTTCCCACTCCCCCACACAGCCACCAAAGGCTAATTGCGACATCCGCACCTCCGACCCCGAACAGTCCACCTACTCCAGCTCCCGCGTCGACACATGCCATGGAGGAAGGCGGGGCATTGGCCGACCACTCCTCCGACATCAAAGGCTCCGTCGACCGCGATGCCCTCATCGACGTCCACTTCCGATGGCACAGGTCATGCGCATCAGCATCTTCTCCGACATCGTTTACTCCATCTACTTCGGCTTCCTCGACGACTGCTACCTCGGAGGTGCGGGCAGGGCGCCCTACCGCGATTTCCCCCACCTCGTTCACACCGTCTACGTCCATCTCCTCGACGACCCCCGCCCTTGAGGAAGACGGGCATGGCGGGGCTTGGGGGTGGGATATGGAGATGCGGATGCGAGGCTAGGGGCGGGGGGGGGGGGGGGGGGGGGGCGCGCGCAGAGGCTGTTGCGACTGACCCACCCACCTGCGCCCAGGCCCACCACGTTATAATCACCGTCCGCAGCAGCGTCGTCTGCCAGGGCCCAGATCGCTCACGGCAGTCCCCTCCTCGTGCGATTACCTCGCCCGCCTCCTCGCGCGCCCCCCCCCCCCCCCCCCCCACATGCCATGCTCGCCGCCTGCAGCGCTGCCGCCTGCGTGGCCGAGCGAAGGCGCAGATGGGATCCCGCCCCAAAAGAGCATGGTAACTGCACCACCGCCAGAAGAGCACGGTAACTGCACCCCTCAGCCTCGCCCCCAAAGAGCAGGCTACTGCAGCCACCTCCGCGCCAGGCCTTTTCACCGTTTCGTTTGCCGTCTGCTGCATCCCGCTCCTCTGCGCATCCACCCGCTCCTCATCGCGCCCTTTTCACACGCTGCATTCGCCGTCTGCAGCACTGTCGCCTGCCAGGGCCCACCTCGCTAACGGCCGCCCGCTTTCTTCTTGGAGCTCCACCTCACCTTTCAGGCCGAGCAAAGGCGCAGCTGCTGTTTGCAATGCCGTTACGCAACCACCTACCTACCTACTTCCGCGTTCCTCCCGG